CCACAAGGAACCCAAGAAGGGCTCCCACAGGACATACATTAACATCCCACAGCACAGAACCTTGTGGGAGATTGTTTTTATAGGTATAGGTTTTTCTCCTCATCCAAGGGGTGGGAACATAACTAGGGAGGCCCCCAAACATCTCCCCGTCGGTAAACACTGTAAGAAAATTGGGGTTTGGGTGGGGCAGAAAGGTTCTAGGGGAGCTCCATTCCAGACAGGAGAAGGAACTCATCCATTTATAAGGGCCATGATGACAATCAACCTTCCCTGGAAACCCCTCAAGGACTATGGCAATTTTGCTATTATTTTTTTGAAGCCAGGTAAAGTTAGTAATTTTAAATGGAACAATAACGGAATGAGGTTTTGTGCCAAATATCCTGACAGAAATACCCCTACCCTTAATACCCTTAATAATGCAATCAGCTACCTGGTTGGTCAGGAAGTAAACCTGGGGGGCTCTACCCACTGAGAGGTGAACCCAATGAATGGGTTCTCCCTCTTGTGCTAACAGCACAGTGCATAAGGTTTCCCCCAGGAAAAATACACAGGGAGACAGGCAGGTCAGGGTCGAATCTCCTTAGGGCTGCTGTATCAATGGCTTGTTGAACCTGTTGTAAGATTTGTAAATGATTGGGAGGATAAGGTAATCTGGGATGAAAGGTCAAGGCCCTTAAGGAGTTCATTTAAAGGGGTTAACTGCTCTGTGGGCACAGAGATCCACGGCCTCAGCCAATTTATCTCTCCCAGCATATTTTGAAGCTGAATTAAGGTATAGGTTTCTTGAATAAGTAACTGGTGTTTAGCTGGGAAAATTGTATCAAAGGACAGGAGAGTGGCCAGAATTTTAAAGGGAGAAATGGACTGTACTTTATCTGGAGCCACCCTAAAATTGTGATCTTTCAAGATGGTAAGGCAATTAGTGGTGAGGTCCTGAAGGCCCGTCAAAGTGGGACTTCCTAGAATAATATCATCCATGTAAATATAAAATAAAATGTCGGACATCTCATTAGGGAGAAAAAATATGTGACATAAAGTACCGACATATAGGGGGGCTGTTAGCTATCCCCTGTGGCAGAACAGTCCACTCGAACCTTAAGTCTGGGCCCCGGAAGTTGCTGGAGGGCAGGGAGAATGCAAACTTCTCCATATCATCTGGATGTAATGGAATGGAGAAAATACAATCCTTAATATCAATAATAGTCAGATAATAGGTATTAGGGATGTCAGTTATCCAAGGAAGTCCCCTTTGGGGGGTCCCAAATGGGATCTTTTTTTATTGATTTTTCTTAAGTCATGCAGGAATCTCCAGGAACCATCAGCCTTTTTTATAACAAAAACAGGAGAGTCCCAGGGGCTGGTGGACGGCTGAACATGCCCCAAGGACTATTGTTTAACCAGAGCATCCAGCTGTTGTAATTTAAAGGATGGTAAAGGCCACTGCTCAACCCAAACAGGTTCCCCAGGTGTCCACTGAATCTTTGGCACCAGGGGCGAGCAGTGGCTTTTAGAATTGGGGGTGAACCCGGGAAAAGTCTCATCTGAGCTTCTCAAAATAGGGATCATCTCTATAATTGGGGTATGTTTCCTGCCCCTCCTCAAAGTGCTGTTGGTACTCTTCAGTGTCAAGCACGTCCTGATAAGGGGCCTTATGGTCTGTGGTGATAAAGTCCTCAGCTTCCCCAAGGATGTCCTGGCCAAGAAGGTTGTCAGTTACACCAGGAATCACAAGGGAATGCACCTCCCCGTGATTACCGTCATGGTCAGTACAGGACAACCAATTAGCTGTCTCCCATGACACAGAATGCCCCCCCCATGCCAAGCATGTGGGGTCTGTTAACCAACTGCCAGGAGGGGACTTCCTCCTTTCGGATGCATCCCCAGTGTCTATGATAAAATTAAAGGTTTTTCCTTCAATGGTTAGGGTCATCTTGGGCCTTAATCTGGGCACCAAGGGTATGGTTCAGTGGGCTTTGACCATCTCTTTCCTCTTATTTAACAGGGCTGGGGATCACCCCTGGGAGGTACCCCTTGGAAGTTGAATTTAGATCTATAGTCTTCTGCCCCAGTGGAACCCCTTCTTACACCTGGGGCATGGGGTGTGGGGCAGGCCCAATTGGGGAGGAACCATGGAGGTGCCTTTAGCATGGTTAGGACACACTCTTTTAAAATGGCCTTCCTCCCCTCAACGAAAGCAGGACCATTTTCCTCCCATGGAGACTTGCTAGAGGGCATTGATTAAGGTTGTAATCTGTTCCCAATTAGCTGCCTGCATGGCTACTGCCATGGTTTGGACCAGGTGAGTAGAGCCAACATCTCAGGAGGCCACAATCCATTTGCTAATTTCCTGATCCCTTAATCCAGCACAGACAAGCTTATGATCAGTGTTCATGCATCCAATACCAACATTTTAACAAATTTATTCCTCAGCTCCTTGGGAAGAGACCTTTCTGGAGACTCTTAGTGACCCTTTCAACAAATGTCACTAAGTCATTGCTGATCTCTGATGGACCCCGGATATAGGATCCTCCATGGGGCCTTCATCCAATATTTTCCAAGCAGCTATCCCAAGTGCCCTAACTTGATCTTGATGGGGGCAGGAATGGCAGCCTGCTGGAGGCCAATGGAGTACTGGTCGGAGGTACCGGACAGCATCCCAAAGGTGATAGGAATTTGAGGGTTGGCTGCTTGATTTCTCTCTGCCTGGACCCTGCACTCCTCTAGATAGAAGGCATCACATTTCAAGTAGAGAGGTCCAGGGAGGACTGCTTTGGCAAGGGGCTTCCAATCCCAAATGGTCAAGGCTTGATAAGCCAGACCCAGAAGGATAGTCTCAGCCCAAGGGGAATTTGGCTCGTCTTCTGAAACAGCCTTTTTAAGGTCCTTAAGGTCCTGAGCCTCCCAGAGATACCAGGCAAGTGGGCAATTGCCGCCAGGGTTAATATTAACAGGAAAGATGCCAGTCACATCCCCTGGGGCCGCACCCCACCCAGAGTAGGGCAAATTTGGGGGAATGGAATTCAGGACAGAGGGGGTGAGGAATGGATTGGTAGGGAGAGAGGATGTTGAGAGGCCCTTTGAAGACCAGGGGGCACCATCAAAGGGATCAAGAAATGGATACAATGAGCCAGATGAGCCAGGCTGACTCAGGGTTTTGGGTTGGGTGTGGCCTGAATTTTTATGTCTCTCTCCTCCCTGGGCTGTTTCCTCTCCTTGAGGTCTCCCTATAGGCTCCTATTCCTTGTAGGGCTCTGGACTTATGTCTCCCTTCTTAGAGTTTTCCGAGGTAGCCACTGGCCGTTTTTCCTTAATGGACCTTGATGGAAAGCAGCCTTTTAAGGCAGTAACAATTGGGATAGCTCCCAGTGGAGGAATCTCTCCTCTGTCAACCCAGGCCCTGTAAATCAGGGTTTCTATTCTATC